AGCGTCTGTGGTGTGGTACGTGGGGGGTGTGGTGGGGGGGGGGGGGGGGGAGATGATGTGTACCCATATCATCCCCTATGCTTAATTTCCATATTCAAGGAAGGATATCACAGAGAATGCGCCTCATTTAACTGCATCCTTAGCAACAAGTAAGAATAGAATTGATTTTTGGTGAATTGACAAGCAGCACCCATTTGAAATACTGCAAAGTTTGCATACTACAGCTGTACTTAAATAATAATCCATGAGCTGTGAACTCTCACAAGCTAGGGCAACTATTGAGAGGGAAAAGACATTTTATTTGGGCTTATTTATCTAGAAGACATAGAATCAAGTCCAGACTTGAAAGCAAATACTCTGTGCAGTGTTTACTTCTTGGTTATGTACTTATATTCTCCTTTGATACCCTAGCATCTAGTTGAAGGTACACAGGACAGTGGATGAGCAGAACAGGGAGAGAGTAAGTTGCTATATAGGGCTGACCTCACTATTCATCCCCATGGAGTTTGCTGAGGAATCCCTTCCCCTTCACAAACTTCTCACAAAGCAAACAGGGCAAGCAGCACCTCCAAGGCCGAAGCTGCGTTGCCCAGCTCCTGCCCAGCTGAGCTCGGGGCTGAGCAGATCCTCTGGGAACTCACTCTCAGGGCAAGCAGCAAAACAGGCTGCTGAGCAGGCTGGTCTGGATTTTCCACTATATTGCAGTCACATTCACTGCAAGAAGAACCCTCTGCAACAGACTCCTCTCTTTAGAAAGTGCTTTCTCTGGAAGGAGAAATTTCAAGAATCTACAAGCTCCATCCTCAGAGCAGTGTCTGGCAAAATAGAACATAAGCAGGACATTATTGGGCCATTGATTTGCTGCCACTGCCTTTTAATATAAATGCTTACAATAACAAAGTCCTAACAACTTTGTACCTAACGTACAGAAAGAAAACAACTGGCTCAAAAAAAAAAAAAAAAATCTTACTTTCAGATACACCATCCCTGCTGCCAGGTGCAGAACACTGGTACTGGGAATTTTAAAACAAAACACACACTTCTGGCCAGCTTCTGAGCACTGGCATACAGTGGACTTGGCAGAGTCGGTGTCAGCAGGCAACCAAGAGCAGTTCACAAGCAAAATGAAGGATTAAAAAGAAAAAGTAAAAAAAAAATCAAACAGTAAATTAAAGCACTGTCCAGTGTTCATCACCCACTTGGTAAAAAGAGCCATGGCTATCTACTGACATTCAACCCTTGGAACGCACAGCTTCAGGGATAGGCACAAAGCAGCTGAGGTGGCTACAGTCCCCAAAATCTAGTGGATGGCTTTGTGCGCCATTTGTCCCAGAAAGAACACATGTGGATTTTCAATATGGACAAGACAGTGACAGGGCAAGAGCACACTCACGATTCCTTATAACAAAGGTCCCCTCATTGCTTCTGCCTAACACTTCAACTACTTACAGAAGAGATGAAGAGCTCTAAAACACGTTAGGCAAATTATGAACTAGAATTTCTTCCTGCCACAGTGTAGTTAACTACTCTGCCCATTCACTGTGTATATCCACTGCATCTTCATTTACAGTAGACATACTCCTACTTAAACGAGGTGTCCTTTGCTCTGTTAAAGGGAGAACCATCCTTCCAGCCCCAGGCAGAGCTCAACTCAATGGGAGTAGTAAGCACAGACAGTAAGAAATAATTACCAGAGAAGACCATGAAGAACAACACCGAATGTTTATGAGATTATGCCATGCTCTGCAAAAGTTTCTATGCACAACAACATGTAGAAGGTGCCTTAGAATAAGCCTACTTATAAAAAAAATAACATTACTATTACCAATGATGACATTAACTATAAAGACATAGCGATTAATAATAAATGGAAATACTTTGCCTTTATAGTCTGTCAGCAAGAATCTTCACTGTTTTTACAAAAGGTTTGTTCATAAGACAACACAAGGCAGTAGTAAACAGGCACTCAAGCAGAAGTTCTTCACAGGATATTATAATACTCATTTGAAATAAGTAAGACACGTAAAAATTTCAAAGCACCAGCTCATAAAAGAGAAGGCAAAGGCCAAACTGGCAGCAACATTCAAAGGAATGACTAGATGCACACAATTCATGGAAGGGGCAGGGAGGGAAAGGGCAAGTCAGTAGAGTTGAAAAAGCAAAACCACAGAACAGCACAAAAGCAAGCATTCTGGAAAAAAAAATAATCAACTTTAAGACTGGAGAACGGATAAGCATTTTCTCCTCCCCATGGCAGAGGGGAATACAAAAATATGCGTATTTTTATCCTGTTACAGCAATCACTCCCTTCAGCCAACAGCGGGCCGCCACATTTAAGCAACTCCTTTTACCCGACATCAAAAAAGAGTAAGACTGCATTTGCTGGCATTTTCTCAGAAAATACGCTTGCAATCTGACTGCTCCTTAGGAAAGCAGAATAGACAGAAGGCCTAAAAGAAGATACAAATGTGGGGAGAGAGCTGGCAACACTACAGAACAGGATCCTCCTCTTAATACTGAGGACAACAACGGAGGGTTAGGAAAGAATGCTACCAAACACTTTTTTACCTTCAGAGGTTCTCAGAGCCCCTCCGGACACACAACTCCAATGATTCCAGGTCACTTCAGAGACACAGTGTTGCTTGTGTCTTGTGGTAAGCAGAGAGCATGAAATGCGAACTTCCTATCTGCTCCATTCATTCGGTTTCTTCACCACCACCAGCTCACAAAAAGTGATCTAGAAGTAGAAAGCAAAGCAAATCGTTAAGAGCATCATTTCACTTTGAAATTATTTCACGGAAATCTCCCAGCGTCACTCATTAAGAAAAAAAATATTAAAAAGTAAGGGACTTCAAAAGCCTCCAGGCCAACAGCACCGTGCCCCACCAGCATCA